CTTGGGCCCTGTAACTGTGCAAGCCCTGTCTTTATACCCCAGGAGCGTGGCTGCCTTGCTAGAAGTTGTTGCTGAGGCTGGGTTGGCCAATTCTTGAATTGTTGTGGTACTAGCGGTGAGCTGGTGTCCTTAAGTTCTTGTATCATCAGGAGTTGGTCTCCATGGTAGTAAATCACTAGCTTTCATGGGTTCGTGCGGATAGCTGCTAGTGATACCGATGCAGCAGCATGTTAAGTTCTGGGAATAAATGAGTTTAAAATTAATTCCACCTGATTGAGATTTTTAAGAGGCAGTTGGATGGGAAACAGAAAAAAGTAAAATTTAAAATGAGCGAGTATTGCAGAAATCAGCTTATCTGAGTAGCAGGAGTCTCCCGTTGCACATGTGAAGTGCTACAGTGTGCTCTTAGTAGCATTTTCAAATAATTCAACCTTTTCTAAACTTTTGTCATATTGTGTAATTTTGACATTGTTGAGCATTTCTGTGTGATCTGGTGCAAACAGGCACACGCTCACCTTGTCTCTCTCTATTCCACCTTGCTAAGTTTATGTCTGTCTGAAAGAAGGTGATGCTTTTTTTACTGCACGCTTTTTTTCTTCTGGCCTGTAAACTGCCAAATATAGATGTGTGGCGACTTCGACAGTTACTCTCTGTGCAGTTGCAAGATTTTCTTTTTGTTTGTGTCATTTATAGAAAACAAACCTGAATACAAGCCATCCTTTCTGCCAGTAAATTACCCTTTTATGTAGAATAGTAAATATTTTCAAATCCTTTTGATACTGTCCTTATTTGAGTGTTCTGGTAAATGTCAGATAAAAAGGAGTTAATTCAAATTAAAATTAACTTTGTTCATCTTTATAAAGACAGACAACTGTATCACTGCAAACCTAACATCCCACAGAATAGGGAAAAATGTACTGAATTAATTCAGTAAATATCTCATAAAGTGTTCTATAGCATCTGTAAACATTTGTGTGTGTTTTGCAAAATAAATATTCAGAAGTGCTGCTGTTTCCATTTCCTAGTTTAGTGTCTATACTACAAAAGTACCTAGAAATTCAGTCAGGGTTGCAGTTTTGTTATGCTGGTCAGTGTAGGCACCCCCCAGACTAACAAAACGCTGATTGCATACAAAGCATTTGCACTGTGGGTAGTTTGACTTGCGTGCTGGGACTTCCCGGTGCTGTGTCAGGATTTGTTTTCACATATTGTAATTTAGCACGAGTATTTTAGGATGGGGAGAGGAATAACAGTCTCTTTCTGAAACAGATTGTGATTCTTGTTGCTTGTGGGGATTTTTTTACAAAGGTGTTGATCTGGTGTTGGTATCAGTTCTCTTTTTAAATATGGTCTTTGCCTTTTCATTATAAGCTTCTGAAGAAAACTGAATTTGTCATGTTAATAAAATAAAGAAAACTTTTTCTTTCAAAAAAAAATATTCAAAAAAGGTCAACAGTGAGTGTAGTAAACAAAAATTCAAAAAGGCAGAGAACAAAAGCCAGATGGTAGGTTGCTTCAGTGTCACAGATTGAGGAGACTTCTGACATCTCTCCTCAGAGTTAGTGCTAAAGTGAATGCTAAAGGCAGTTCAACCAGTTGTGGCCAGAAGCAGTTCTAAGACAAACTGGCAAGTAGGGGTCCGAAGGGATTAATTTAGCAGGAAATACTTGAAAGAACAAAAGAAGTGTGTCTCAACCAAATGTTTATGTGTAAGGAATATAATAATTCTGTGCAAAACCCTGCATTCCTGGGGTTTGAATGGTGTGGGCAGGAGATATTTTTAACTGTCCCAAGTTACGTAAAACTTTTAACTACCCATGATGGACATAAAGGAGCACCCTTTTCCTTTCTGAAAGCAGTTTTCTATGTATTTAAACACTGACATTATCTCCCCTTGTAGCCTTCTCCTCCCCAGGCTAAACAAGCTCAGTGAATCCAGGCTTTCCCCACAGGACGTGTTTTCTAGATGTTCTCTGGAGTGGCTTAACTATTTGCCATAAAATTGTTAAGCTCCAAGTAGTTGTTTTCAGTTTGTGTATTTAATTTGGAAGAAAGATTTATGCACCCAAAAGGTTGCCTATTATTTCCAATTATCTCAGTCAGTCTAATAAAAGATATTACCTCATCTCACAAACCTTTATCTTATTTAGAGACTTACATCATCACAACTACAGCAGCGCTGCTTTTACTGCCAGTGCAATAGACTTTATGTCCTGTCCTCTTGACGCTTCCTGTTGCTCCCCGTTTGTACCTTGCCATCTCTGGTTTGTCCCAGCATGCTCGTGTGTGTTTCTGTACGTGCATCCTGAGTTTTGAAGCTCAGGAGGTGCTCGTGACTTTGTCAAGCTGCTTTCTTACCATTCTTCTGCAATGAGATTGTTAGACTTGTCCCTTAATACTGTTTATGGATTGCAAGTTTGGGGTTTTTTGGTTTTTTCATTAGGATCTTTGAAAATTTGAATGCCGTATGAAGGATAGAAGCTAGTATTCAGGCCAGATGCATTTGATATCAAAATATGCTTTTTGTTGATACTGACTTGTAACTTTTCATGTTTTAGGAACTGTGGATGGAACGGAAAGCTGAGGAGCCGAACATTTTATCAAAGGCCTATGTGTAGACCCTGATGCTTGAATAAATGCAGAATGAAAATGCTTCCTGGAGTGGGTGTGTTTGGAACTGGCAGCACCGCCCGGGTAATGGTACCCTTGCTGAGAGCAGAAGGCTTCTCCATTGAAGCGCTTTGGGGGAAGACTGAAGAGGAGGCCAAACAGCTGGCAGAGGAAATGAACATCTCCTTCTACACGAGTCGGACTGACGATGTCTTGCTGCACCAGGACGTAGATTTGGTTTGCATAAATATCCCTCCACCGCTAACTCGGCAAATTGCTGTGAAGGCTCTAGGTATCTTTTTATCTTTGGAGTTGGACCAAAAATCCATAGCTCGTTGGCAGATTGAAATTTGAAGCTGTTACCCCAGCACAATTCTGATTGCACCAACGTGCAAATGCAGTGCTAAATGTTTTGTGTGGAATTGGTAGTGCCATCTGCGAGAGAGGTTACCTCGAATTTTTTGTAAAAATAGTGTTTGTAATTGCTTATAGCTTTGCGAGTCTTGAACCAATTGGGCTAAAATACCTCATCTTCTTCAGACTGAACTTACGGTGGGGAGGTTTTAATAAAAATGAGCTGTTTCAGAGATGACGATGAAGGGGTAAAATGTTTTTATGCCCATTAAAAAAAAAACAACCGAACAAAAAAAAAAAAAAGGAAAAAACAACCAAACAACTTAAGTTGCTTAATTAATTTCAAATCTTCCCATGTTCTGCAATAGGAAACTGAGATTTGCCTGGGGTGGGGGGGTTGTTCAGCTCTGCTTTTGGTTTTCCCCACAAATAAAACCAAATTGGAAAGTTAAAAGCCTTTGAAAAAATGTTTGCATGCACTCAGTAGAATCTTGTGAGTTAGGACCTAAATTCTCTGCAGATGCTGTTTTCAGCCAGCAATGCTGTGACCCTGGCCACCACCTGGAGCTCTCTTAGGACATCCATGTCCACAGCAGTCTGGGATGGTCCTGGGTTCAGGTTTGCTGGAGGAATCCTTCTACCTGACGCAGGAGAGCAGATGCTGGGGGAGGAGGAGATGTTGGGGACAGCAGGAGGAATCCAGCAAGATGGGCTGGGTGAAGGTGTCAGGGAGAGAAGGGATGACACTCCAAAGTGGTTGGGCAGGGAGGTGGGAGCCAACTGCCGGGACACCCTGACATTTCTTAATTCTCCAGTATGTGACTTTGTAGTGTTAATGTCCTCTCACGTAGTACAGCGTGGGTGTGAGTTTGCATCTAATTCTGTAAATAACAAGTGTGATATTTTTACTGTGTTTACAGGAGGTCCACATGAGTTAATTTTAGGACGGGTAATATCTCAAACTGTGTAAGCCAGGGTGGTTTGTTGTTCTTAGCCTCTTTGCTCTACAGTAATTTGTTTTGGAAGTAAACAACTCCCTGCACAAACATTCAATGCCACTTAGCTATGCAGAGAGATATTACAGGTTTTTTTTTTTCTTCTTTTTCTTTTTTACATTGTTAGATTTGCTTGTTTACCTTGTTAGAGTACTACCCTTTGAATTTAAGGTATTCTGACTTCTGAATATTTGAACTGTAAGTTAGAATTTCTCTCTTTAAATATGCTAAAAGTTCTTTTAAACACTTTTTAGGTAATAAGCATTTCACTAGTTCTCATGGCTTGTGATGGGCAAGTGGGCTAAAAGGAGAGGATTGAACCTTATCTGGTGAATTATTAACTAAAATGGATTGAGATTCTTTCTTCAAAGGCTGGGAACCTGTAAGATGGCATTATCCAGAGGAGGAAAGGAGTGCAGAAGTACAGGCGTGATATGTATGCTTGACTGCAAGTATAAATAAGTGCAAAGCTGAAAAAGCTAGGGAAATGAATGGATGAAGTAGTACAGGGCAGTTTATTCTTTGCTTATGTTCTAAAATGTTCTGATCTGCAAACTGGTGCAGGCATCTCAGGCCCAATATGATGCTGACCTTGTCTTTCGGCTTTCTAGGTTTGTTGCAATGCTATTTATAGATCTGCTACCAACTATGTTGTGACATATTTTGAGCCAGTGTTGGGTGGCTTGCTGTGATTGAGCATTTTGAAGGAACACAAAATCAGGATAGGGCCAAAGATGGCAAGTACATTTTCTCTGAAAGTTCAGAGCGATAACATGATCTACGTAACTGGAGAATTATTGGCCGTGAATTGTATATAATAGATTGGTGTTTACTAGTCGAGAAACTAGGCTTTAGGAAAGATCAGATGCAGTGCAGTGATAATGGTCTTTTGTGTTTTGTTTTGTTGTGGTTTGTTTGTTTGTTTTAAAGTGTTTATGCTTTTATTACTTATTTGTAAACTTTTTTTATACTTTCTTTTTTTTTTTTTTTTATTTTAAAATGTGGTTACATTTTTATTTCTGGCAGGGATGAGAGACAGACCCAGTTTTTCCAGGCAGTGCAATTTGCTTGCATAAGTTTCTTATTGACAGACATCCATAAACAAGCCTAGGTACAACTTTGGCATGACGGGGACAAAGCAGTAACACTGGATTGAGTTCATGAACCAGACAGAACAGATCAAAGCCCAGCGGATAATTCAAGTTAAAATCAGTCTAATCTTATGGTTTATCTCCACAACAGGCAATGCAAGAAGCTATCCTAAAATTTGTGCTTCTTTTGATCTCAGAGGAACTAAATTAATTTCACAAAATGTCTGTGTTGTGGTTCATGTCCCACAGTTAAAATGCATCCACCTTTGCATTAGGTGAGCACAGAGCGGAGTTACCAGCTGGAGTGGAATGTAAAACATGGGATGTTTTTGCATGAGGCAAAGTTCAGGGAGGCAAAACATGAGAAGTCCTCAGAGTAGAATTTCTTCATGGTCCTAAAGATAATGCTGCTGCACGTACTGAGCCCAGCTGTCAAATGGATGGTTTGTGGAGTGGCTACAGAGGAACCTCTTACTTGTCTCTCTTGGTTTATACTGGTTGACTACATCATTTAAGACATCTTTGCAACATAGGTTGTTTGACACTCTGATTTTGTGGAGTCCCTACAAATTATAGCACATATATGTTAGTTATGAAGGAAGGAGTCAGAAAGGGCTCTGTCACTGCTTTGTGTTGTGACAAATCCAGATTTCCTGTTCTTGAGACAGGATGAACAAGCATGCTGTGAGTGCTCTTTGCATATTGTGCTTCCCATCTCTGTAACAAGTTGCATGAAGATCTTTTCAAACTGTAGGCAAACAAGAAATGAAATGAAGGAGTGTGTTTTGGAATGAGCATTCATTCATTGGGAGGCTCCCAAAGCAAGTACATCTGAAACAGCCGGCTATTTGGGAAGACTCCTCAGACACTCCCAACTTCTTATAGTGGACAAAGCAATGGTCTGGTGTGCTTCAACAGTGACCGGTTGTACATCTTCCTTGGTGCAACCTCAGGTATTTGACGTTATTCAGGGGAGTAAAGAACTGAGTCTTCAGTTCAATGGACATATTTACTTGGGATAAATACCTTCAGTAGTTTGAGTCAACGTTATAACTCGTGCAGGGAGAGGCAAGGCTGGGGACGCTAGCTGTTTATGGAAAGTGTTGGATGGCCAGCTGTGGCTATGATAGCCAGGCAAAGAAACAACCAAAGAGGTGGAGTGGTAGCTGTCACAGTGAGAATGCTGTCCCAGCCCAGCCCGCTCCTCACACTGCCTGGGCGGGTGGCACGGCACACAGCCGATCCCCTCCTGACTGCACTGCAGGGACACCTCTGTGCACGGCTGCCCCTGCTTCTTGCATTTGCTCACCTGCATGTCCCACAGACAAAGGACTGCAGGACCTCTCCCCATCAGGAGCCCTGGTGGGCTACCTCCTATGCCAGGCTGCTCAGCGGGCCCCCCTGGGACATGAAGGACCTCCTTGATGGAGCGGTGGGCCAGGTGTGGTCTCGGTGTCCTTCTCATGGCCTGCTGATATGCACGCAGCCTGAAGCAGAGAGGAGACCCCAGCTCATATGCATGTTGATTGCAGCAAGGCCAACTCTTCAAGGTTTAGGGTGCACTTCTCCCATCTTTTCATGCATGCTCCCCTTCCCAAGGCCCCACCAGGCTGCAGAGTCCCTTCTCCTTCCTCCTGATCACCCTGGCATCCTCCCTACCAGGAGGAAGGTGTGGGCTGGGGGTCCTGGCAATTGCTGGGGCCTGTGTCCCTCCCCAGCACCTGTGATGGCTTTGGGCAGTGTCCACCAGGTAGCATGAGAAAGCAGCGAGTTTTCTGTGCTTGCATTTTATTAACCAGGGCTGTAAAATATTTCACATGTGGCAAGTTTTGGATGTAGCATGGCTAAGCAGCTGCAAGGGAAGCCAGTGCCTCAGTGCTGATGGACAGTGTGGATCTGACTACAGATGTAAGATTCCTTTAGGAGAAAATAGTCTAGTTTATTCTGCTGTCCAGTAAGTCTCGGCTTACCTGTTGTTTTTTGATTGCTTCCATAGGATGTGAACACACTTTAAAATCCAGTATTTCACTGAGTGAAGCCATGATTTGGCTGTATCACATTAATGAGAGTAAAAAGACTTCTGTTTAAATATTTAGTTTATTTACTAAATCAGGAATTGGTTTGAAAATTCTTGGAATCTAGCAGGTACTTTTGCCTCTGAGTATGGTAGTAGATGGTTTGTCTAAGGACTCCTGGCAATGGTGACCTTTTTATTCTCTTTTTGTGTCCCTCTTACTGCAACAACCAGCATAGCCATAAATAAGGGGACTTCAGTGGAGCAAAGATCTACAGATGGGGTTCGCTCCGAGGTGTGCACAGAGAAGATCCTGAGGTGGTGTTGTTAGGACAGCCTACGATGAGCTTCACCACAGGTAGCAGAGCTGCTGCTGTCCTTGCTCACTTCCTGTGAGGTGGGGAAACGCAACTCCGCAGCCCCATCTCCTTCCTTCGAGGTGTCCAGGCCCTTCTGTGGGTTTAGACCCACCTGTGAGCAGATTCAACCCACCCACTTTGAAAGAGGAACCTTCCTTTTCTAAACTGGGCTCAGTTGGTGATCTGAACTGACTCACAGAGGGCTCTGAGGAGCACCAGAGCCCTGTGGTGGCTCTCATGTCTCCTAGCTGGTGAGGACCTCAACGGAGAATTTTGCAGCAGTGATTTAAGAAAACAATATCGTACAAAGTTCAGGTTATTCCTTATCAAAATAATAGTAACAAGACGGGGGTTGTAAGTTGCTCTGCCTCAGAAAACAGAAGGCTTGGCTGTTGTGTTGGTAAGGGACCTCGTAGCCATCTCTGACTCGGCCCTTGTCTTGCTGCATGGCCATCTCTGTGAGCTTGGGGACAGCTGGGGGGATGTCCCACTGAGGGCAACCACAGGATTATCTCAGAGATGTTATGGTGTACCCAGGTCTTTGTCCTGGCACTCCAGCAGTGCTTGGTAGGCTGTGCCGAGCTGTCATTGTGCTGCGCTGACTGCCATCCCCCAAAAAAGGCATCAGTCAGTTTTAGCTGCTCAAGTGGCTCAGCCTACACTGGCAAAAAGAGCACAGTGCTGACGCAAGGATGAAGCTGGGTGGGGAGGCAGCAGAACAAGGGCAGCCTGGTGTGATCAACTGCCCAGCATGGAACAGCAGACCCTGGGTGGCAGGGGTGGTCTCCTTTGGCTCAGCCCTCTCTGTTCTTGGTCCCCCACTGCAGGGATGCCACCCCTTTTGTGTGGACACTGTCAGGCTCCTTGAAGAGCCAACTTGGGGCAATAACCTGCCAGAAAAAGAGCCAAGATGAGTGAATATTTCCATGCTGGGTTTGTACCCTGAGCCAGCTCCTGTGCTACCAAATACATGGTGGAAGGCACTGGAGTTGTGCAAGGGGGAGAGCAGTACTGGCAGAGCTGTACCGTGTGTGTATGCGGATCGAGAGTCACTTTTATTTTCGTCAGACTTTGAGAACTGCAGATCTGCTTAGGATGCTGTGGAGATCCTTTTGCTTTTTCTTTTTGCTTGTATTTTACTGTAACCTGGCTTGAGATAAGTGCCATTTAAACAAGAAGGCAGATAAACCAGGGGCTGAAGCATCTCAAGGTGCTTCAGCTAGCCCTGCGGAATATTGAATAGAGCATTGTGCGTCATCTCAGCAACAGGACTGGGGGTGGGAGAGTCGGAAATGGTCCCTGATGTGGGGGGTTACCAGTGGGTAGCCAGGGTGTCCTCGGGGAGTTTGACCTTACCTTTTGTTCATTAAAGCTTCTATTGACTCACATCAGTTTAGGGGACTTCTTTGGACAAGACCACTAAAAATTGTAGTCTTGTCATTTTCTGACTGGATTTTGCTTGTGTCTATTAGAAATATTGGTTCCGAGTTTTCTCTAGCTGTAGTTGTCCTCTGGCTGAGTTGGGCACAGCGATGGGTCACGGGAGCTCGCTGGCCTGCTCAGATGGTTCCTGAAAGGCTTGCCCAGCACAGCCAGGAGGTGGAGTGCCGAGAGCAAGAGCTGCAGTGTGGGATCTGGCTTCCCCTCTTGTGAGGGAGGCCGTCGGAAGCGCTTGTGCTGGTATCATCTCATCAGGGAGTCGATTAAAAGCTGTTCTGAGCAGGGAGTGGAGTCTGCTCCTGGATAAGGAGAAGCTTTCAGAGAGGTGCCTTCCTCCATGTGCGGCAATTCCTGCAGTTCTTAGGCAGAAACTGTGGTACGATGTGACTGACCTTCAGGTCTGACATCACCAGTTAATGTCTGGACACTTCTAGGTACACCCCTGGATTGAAAAATGTTTATTTAAGTATTTTATCAGAACAGATGTATATGGAAAAGTTGAGCCATGTCACAAGGGTGAAGATGGGGGAGGAAGAGGGAATACCAGCAAAGCACCAAATATAGGAATTTGATTGAAGCTTGCACTGGGATACTCTTCTGTATTACTTTATTTCTGCTTTGAAGTTAAAAAAATGAATTATTGACTGCCCACATTGACTCAGGCTGAGCACAAGATAAAGTGCATCCATAGGAATAAAAATGCAGTGGGTCACCTTGCAAGTGCAGCTCTCATCTGTGTAACTCACAGTCACCTTTGCAGTCTAATTGTATGAGTAGGCTATACATGCAGACCAAAATGGTTTGCTTTCCAATTAGCGATGCTTTTAAAACAATCCACCTACCAAAACATTATTTCTAATTCTTGTATTCTGTACACAGGCCACTAAGTATCTCGTATGACCCATTTCTATTAATCTATTTAAAATAATACATTCATAGTGATGGTGAAATACAAAGTGAAAATCAAATCTCCCCTTCACTCACCTCTTCTGTCACATGTTCCCTCCCCCCCCCTCCCCGCTCTGGCTGTACAGGCATTGAAATAATTTTATAGCTACAACATGCAATTTGTGTCTTGTTCTGACGCCATGTGATGCCATTTGGCCGTTTATCTTTCATGATGTAAAAATCCTCTCTTTATTTGGAGCATCTCTCTGTGGGAGTTTGTCAGCTCTGCAACCGGAACATTTTGGAAGCAGCTTTGACTGCTTGCTGCACTTGGCATTCCTATTTTAGTTCCCAGACCTTTGCCTTTAAAATTGCAGCAGGAATTGACTGACTCATAAAAACCCTGCTTCTTGACAACCTTTGGGGCATCTGAGCATGTTTCGCTTGTGTGTGCTGTATTTTTTTTTTTTCATTTGTGCTGCAGGAATAGGGAAGAACGTGATCTGTGAGAAAGCTGCTACCTCTGTGGATGCCTTCAGGATGGTCACAGCTGCCAGGTATTACCCCAAGCTGATGAGCATTGTTGGCAACGTTCTCCGTTTCTTGCCTGCCTTTGTGAAGATGAAGCAGTTGATAGAAGAACGCTACGTGGGCAATGTGATGATCTGCGACGTACGAGTTTATGGGGGAAGCCTGCTCAGCCACAAGTACAACTGGATCTGTGATGAGCTGATGGGAGGAGGTGGTCTGCATACAATGGGAACCTACATTATTGACCTCCTAACTCACCTCATCAGCAGAAGAGCAGAGAAGGTCCATGGTTTGCTTAAGACTTTTGTGAAGCAGAACACGGCTATAAGCGGGATCCGCCATGTCACTAGCGATGACTTCTGCTTTTTCCAGATGCTAATGAGTGAGGGTGTCTGTTGCACTGTGACTCTCAACTTCAACATGCCTGGATCATTCATTCATGAAGTCATGATTGTTGGGTCTGCCGGTCGCCTGATAGCTCGCGGGACGGACTTGTATGGGCAGAAAAACACTGCGCTCCAAGAAGAACTACTGTTTACAGACTCTCTGACTGTCAACAAGGGCCTTTTGGATAAAGGGTTTAAAGACATCCCGCTGCTTTACCTAAAAGGAATGGTGTACATGGTTCAAGCACTGCGGCAGTCTTTCCAAGACCAGGAAGACCGTCGGACATGGGATCATAAACCTGTCTCTATGGCAGCCTCTTTTGAAGATGGTCTGTACATGCAAAGTGTAGTAGAGGCCATCAAGAAATCCAGCAGGTCAGGAGAGTGGGAAGCTGTGGAGGTGATGACTGAGGAACCAGATGCCAATCAAAACCTCTGCGAGGCGCTTCAGAGAAATAACTTATGAACATTCCTGCTTTGGAAGATAGGAGGATTAACACTTCTGGCTGTAATGTAAAAAAACTCTCCGTTTTTAAGATATGTAGATTTTTATTTAACAACCTGAGTTCCTTGGTTTTTTAAATGTGTACAATATGTTCTGATAGAAACTGTTCTCATTTAAATTGTTTAAAGAGTTTTAAATGTTTCCGTTTTTGCAAACGTTTAATTTTTGTCTTGGAGACTGGTAGGAAAACTTGAATTGCCCTTTGCACTTGCAGTAGCTGAAGTGAAGCATGGGATCTCTGCCGTTGCGTGGCTTGGACATGGGACACAACCCCTGTTGCACAGGTTCCTTATTTTAACATGAGAGCACATAGAGCAAGATCAGGGAGTATCTGTTGTTCGGATGCCTTTTCCTTCTCTCTTGGAGACTGATTAAGTTTTACTCCTCAGTGTAAAATTTTATAAAAGAGTTTAGTGATGTAACAGGTCTCTAAACTCCTGTAGGACAAATAGTAGAAGGACCGGATAAAAGTTTGGAACATAAGGATCAGCCTTTTGGCTTCCCGCATGTGGCAAATGTCTTTCACATTCATTTAAACTGGTATTTTATTTAAATGATGCTATGAATTCTCTGTTGATGGTGTCTTGGCAGGAAAATCTTCAGGAAGTTTGTGATGATTTGTGCTGTTCTTCCTTATCTGTAGACATTATTCCTTCTACTCAAGAGGCTGCCTGCATCCAGCAGCTTTTTTCCATAAACTCTGTGTCTGTCGGTTGTGTTTACTGCCCAGCAGCACTGGTGCCGTGACTGCGGGGCCACGTTCTCATTTCTGTGACTGTTAATAAATGCCTCCCAGGGTCATGGGATTTCCACAGTGTTGTGGGTAATGAAGTTGTACAGCATTAACCTTCCAGGGACCTGAAGATGGAAGTAAGGAGGTATTTCCTACCTCTTGTAGCTCTCTTAATGTGCTGGCTGGGTAACTGTCACACTACACACATCCTGATAGTTGAGAGAATGGGGACTGAACTGTCATGGGTAAGTCTGCTCTTAATCTCAAACACTGGATATTAACCCTCTGGCCCTGCCCATCCTCACACCCTCCTGCAGCTTGTGTCCAGTGGAAAGATCTGTTGGCAGATGATGGGTGGAAGTTCATTCGTTTGAGAAACGTTTCTCTCTGAGGCAGGTATGCAGAAGGGATAATCCAATTTTACTACATATATTTTGTGTACTTGAAAGCTTTTTTTAATGTATTTCTCACTAAATTGTAACCCTGTGTATTTATGTATCTTAACATGCAAACTGCTGTTTCATAAGCTGGTCCTTCCTGAAAAGGATCTTGTTTTCTACAGAAATAAAAAGTTGTGTTTGTTGAGGGCATTCTTTATGCAGCTGTGGGCTTGTGTTTTGATTTGGTCAAGCTGAAACCATCCTAATAAATGTGAACAGGAGACTTAGAGCTGGGGCTCAGTACCTGTTGAGTCCTTCCCTACTTCTATGTGCCTTTGCTGCCAGCTGCGTAGCTTGGGTGTGGAAAACGCTCTTGTGATATCTAGCAGTATAGCTCTGTGCTATCCTGTATAGCTCTCTGCTATCCTAACAAGTGTCATTGATTTATCACCAAGGGAAAGTAAGTCCTACCGGAAGATCTATTTACCACCTCTTTGCTGTTTCCCTCGCACTACAGCTGTTGAGTAGCTGGTTTTGGAGATCCTTTTGCCTATCTTGGACTCACCATGTCAACTTTTGTCATTAACAGGATCTTTATTTATCTGCCTGACTCATCGTAGAAATTGCTGGAAGATGCCAACTAAGAAGCAAAATCCCCACAGTATTGATGGGACCGCTTTCTTTGCTCAGTGTATATATCAGGTATTTACCTTTGGGTATTTACTTTCAACACAGTAAAACTCTTGACAGAAACAAGTCTACTGACATGCTGTTTTAAAGGGTAGAAGCATGGCTGCTCCTGTGCTCTCTGCACAATCTCATTTCTACTGTGAGCTGGATGAAGAAAGCAAATGGTTGAAATTCACTGCTCCCAGCTGTAGCAGGTGGAGCAGTGAAAGCTGCATTTCTGCAAACCTTCCTTTACAGGTAGAGGACTGGTGTTCCTGCCATAGGTCTGAGCATCTAATGTCTGTGTGCTATGTAAAGCAGGTGAGATAATGTCTCCTGAGCTCACCTGGAAGCCGCTGCCTTCATTCAGACAGAACAACTCTGGCTTATTTCGTGCCAGTTTTGGATCTGTTTTGAAGCTGTCCTCCTTGAACTGAGAACCTTCCTTTGTGCCTTTGTCAGTATATTTGTACCGGGCAGAAGATCCTAAAGTGCAACTCCTACAGGAGAAGAAGGAAGTGCAAAACATCTCCAGATGATCCCAGCAAAGAAAGGAGGGTGCCAAGACTCCTGGGTGAGCAGGAGACCTGACCGCAGAAGTGTGCAGAGAGGTGAAATGGGCTTTTTGTAGCCTGGCTACAGCCTCCAGCTGCCCTGCACTGGCAGCGTGGGACAGTGGCCAAAGGAGCACTCCTTTGGATGAGGCGGATCCCTGCTGTGAAGCTGAGATTCTCCCAGTGCAAACCCTGTTGGTCCAACGTAGAGGTAGTGAAAGCACCTGCTGGTTAGCGCTGCTCGCAGAGGGGGACCAGGCCATGCTCTGCTGTCTGCTGGACTGAAAGGCAGGGCTGCACTGTGCCCTCCTATGTCCCCTGTGCAGGGTGATCTTCAGCAGCGAGCCTCAAGGCTAGTCCCCAGGCTCCTGCATTTCACACACAAGGAAGGAATGACAGCACATGCATCCTAAGGCCAAGTGACATGCAGCTGTATTTTATAATGAAAAACTGCTTCCCCCCGCCCCTGGCAAATCAGATTTTCTGCAACCAGGAAAAAACCCAGTAAACCCACAGCTCTTTGTATGGGCCAGGTGATGATCACCACCCCGCAGGTCAGGCTGTAGTAGACAAACAGGAGGCAGAAAGCTGCATGGCTATTTATACTGAGGAAAGAGCAGTGGCACCAGGTGAGCTGCATATCTGAGCATCCTATCGATATCAACCTGCATGGATTTGTCACCTGCTTCTGGGGCTGGGATCTCCGGAGCGCTGCTGGCACAGGTATCTGCAAGAGGAGTGAGTGCATCAACAGCTCAGCCACCTCCTGGGAGACAGGCTGAGTATTTGCACCAGCAGGATGCCAGGTGCCAGCAGTGTGGGTAGGATGGCTGCTCTGGGGTCTCCAGCCTGACATCCTGCTTGGAGCAGGCCTGTTCACCAGCTCCAGCTCAGGCTGGCCATGGCTTTGTTCCACCAAGTCTTGGAAGAGAACTCTGGAACCTGTTGACTGTGGAGTCAACTGAAGAGTGCTGTCCTAAGGGGAAGGGTCCTGCTCTGTTTGTCTAGGCCACCTCAGAGCTTCAAGGGAAAACCTAAGGGCAGAGCTGCTGCAAATGATGACCTAGAGACATCCAAGCTGCTTCTCTAAAAGCTAGGGGCAAGGGTGGAAGAAACAGGATAAGGTGACAATATCTGCAGAGGCAAGGGCAAAGCCTCCACTTGTGGGGATGAGCTATGGGGACCAGCAGGTCACTGGCAGAACAAGGCCAGCTCCCTGAGGAATACAGGAGCTGGGTAAACCTTGTTGGAGCTCACCTTCCAGCTGTGGAGCAGTTGCCCTGCTGGAGGCTGCAGGGACCTGGCTTGGCTGTGCCAGCTCTGGGACTTCATCTTCTGGTGATGGGTGCATCAACTCTGTCATGTCTAAGTTGATGTACTGGTACAAGGGTCGCAGACGTGGCAGTTGTCCTGGAGAGGTACAAGAAGAGCTAAATGCTGACACCCCCTTCCCTGCCAGGGCTGTGCTGTAGCTCACAAGGCTCCAGCAGCCCTGGGAGGAGAGGAAGAGCATTATTCCTGCCAGGAAGGGAGTCAGGGGCTGCAGGGGGAGGCAGATACCCTTGAGCTGAGGCTGCCTGGTAGGATAAAAGCCAGGGATCTGTGGCCATATCCCAGAGACAAAACAGCAGCTGGAGGGAAGAGCCATGGTGAGCCTGCCTGGGTATCATGGTGCCCGGCTGAAAACTCACCAGTGGAAGAGCCCCTGTCATCACCCAACCCACGGGGATGCTGCCAGGTCTGAGAGAAGCAGAAGAGCTGTGGACCACCTTGTTGTACTATGGACCCAGCCTTAGGCCAGCATCATTCCTGAGACAAGCCAGTTAGAGCACACACCATGCCAGCCCAGCCCAGCTTGTGTGGCTGCAGCCACCACCTTTGCTCACCCAGCGTGTCCTGGGACTTGGCCCCTCTGGGAGAATGCAGGCTGCTCGCATGTCTCTTTTTCTTCCTTTTCCTCTCCTGCTTGGCAGAGAGGCCAATGTCACCTCGGAGGGTGCCTGGCTCCTTGGTGGTGGGATATGCCCTCTGGAAGTCAGGGTGCTGCAACCGGAGCACTTGCGAGTTGACCCTGAAGGACAGAAACCAGCTGTGGGGCACAGCCAGCTCAGGGTCCATCCGCAGTGGGAGACAGAGCCCTGTGGCACCTCGGGGTGGGGCTCCATGCCCTGGCATAGGAGCTGCATCCAAGTGCAGCCCTTGCCCTTGGTCTGTGCCCATGCTACAGTACTGTCGTGCCAGGGTCTGCTCCAGCCCTGGCTGTGCTAGCTTAGCTCCCTGGCTGGACTTGGACATGACTGGTGGTCACTGACTGTGGCTGATGGATGGCTCGGAGCTACTGCATTGCCACAGGTGCCGTTTTCCTTTCCACCGTGAGCCCCACAGCTCTTTGGGCTTCTCCCTTTCCACACTTCTGTGGTTTATCTGCTCTTTTAAACTTGAAGCAACTCTCAAAATTACTACAAACCAAGCTCAATTCTCAACAAAATAAAAAACAAAGCAGAGCGATGTCCAGCCACAAATCATGGATACTAATATGTTCCATCCCATGCTCATCCCTTCCTCCCAACCTTGTTTCACCCTTGTGCAACACAGCCTGCCTGGGGCAGACCCAGGCCTCGCTGGCAGCTGCTCCTCGCATGGTGATCCTGGCTGCGTTGCAGCACAAAGCTGGCTTGTGAAGGAGACATGGTGACTTACTTTGTCCCCTTGAGTTTGAAACCATAGGCTAGCAGCCAGGCCTGCAGTGCCGCGACACAGCCGAGATCCACCAGCTCCGGGAAGACCGCTTTGTTCTTCCCCATCTCCTCCTCATACAGCTTGGTGTGGACAAGGACACCTCGCCCATCTTTGGACCACTGCAGTAGACACAGGGAACAGCATTGACAAGCGGTGGTCCCGTCCTGCCTGTCCCTGCACCCACTTTTTTCCTCGGGCCCTGGTGTGGATGACCCTGCCACAGTGGCTTGGACCCTTTGCTGGCTACTAATAACCACCTGGATTTAGGATTTTACTCCCAATGTGGCCCCAAGGTGTGGGGGCGAGCCCGGCTGGCTGGTGAGTGGGAGCACCCTGTGTTGCTGCAGTGGCTGTCTATGGTGGGTGGGACCGTGGGGCTGGGTGGCCCCATGAGTCCCGCTGGCCCTCCCAGGACTTTGGTTGCCATCTTGCCCCCCCATCACCCACGGTGGCACTGCCAGGCCCCAAGCAGCAGCTAGGGACACCCTCGAGTGCACCACCATGGCAGAAAACCGCTCTACAAAGAGATGGCTGAAAATTATTCAGCTGCCATTTCATGCAGCTTAACTAGAAGCTTGCAGGTAACTATTTGGGGTCATCTACTCTCAGTTTGAGAAAGACTTGGGAGTAACATCATGCCTTTTGTTTCTGGGTAGCAGACCCAGCCCCAGGGACATCCAGCCTCTGCAGAAAGGAGCTTTTCTCATTCCTTCCCCCTCCCCAAATTTTGGCACGCATGGGGACCCCCTGTTCTCACACAAGGCTCGCACAGGGGCAAGTGCCATGCTCGTGGCACCCAGGGATGAAGCCCATGCTCCTCACAACCCCCATGTCCAATGCAAGATCACCCTTCACCTTCAAAGCTTTGATGTCCGGGTTCTCCAGGGCTGCAGACAGCTGAGCAAGGATGTGCCCAGGCTCATGGCTGCCATTCTGCCCCTCCTCAGGGCTCCTCACCAGGGCAGGAGGCTCCAGCACCGGGGCTGACATGGCAGATGCTCTAGGCCACCAGTGGGGGCTGCCTGCAGACCAACATCTCTGTGAGTGTTTGGTTTGGCGTGGGGGCTCAGCCCAATGCATGGTGCTCAGCCCGGCCAGGCCATGGCGAGCCCCCGCTGCAGGGACACGGGCACTGGATGCCTCTCCCTGCTGAGCTGCCAGGGTGGTGATTCCCGTTCCCAGCCCTGGGTCTGGGCAGCAGCTTTGAAGTGGCTGAGGTCTGCCCAGGACAAGACCCCCATGAGAT